AACTTTTCCGAAACTTGGACCTTTCGACATGTGCTTTATGCAGCAGAAGTACTTTTGAATATAATTAAAGGAAATCAGGCAAGTCACATAAACTGCACAATCGACTTGTTTTATATAGACAAAGAATTTAAGTAGTGAAGTACGTGGTATAATATCTGTTTTGATCTCTACCTAGATGAGCATGTTGAGAAAACATGTAACTGAATGAGAAAGAAGCAAGAAAGAAGACATAATGATGTCTTCAAAAAAGCGCATCATTGTGAAAGGTGCAGAATCTCGAGCTCTGATTGATATGCAGTGCAGGAAAGTGATTGTATCATCAAGGATAATTAACAAATACAGCTATGTAAAATTTGTTTCCAATTACAAATAAAACTTATATTTGGACATAGTTCCTGATGGTGTATCACTAGGTAACTTGTTAGAACCAAGAACTCAAATTTGATGTCCAGTTAAAACTTGCCTTCATTTTAACAACGAAAATGTCAACTCGTAGAAGCACACACAATTTAAGTCTTCCATATCGTATTTGTTGTCAGTTACTTTGTAATTGCTCTGTTTAAAATTTCTTTTCAGGTGCATAATTACGTCATGTTGATAACAATATGCAAACTCACACACAATAAGTCCAAATCATACCAACTGCACCGATAATTATGCGGTTAACCGACACCTTTACCTACCGCACCGAAAATTTAATCGGTTAGAACTAACAATTAATATCCCAAACATCAGCATTTCTGTTTTTCTATTAATGCTTCAAGCACACATCGCTAATAGCTTTGTTTTCTTCCAAAGATCCCACATTGCGTATTGTTTACTGGAAGGCCATTGTGATCTTAGATAGTAAAAAATTTTGGAGAGAAAAATTACAACTTAAAAGACCACAACAAAAATCTAACGTAAGGGACGAAATTACAAATAAATCCAGCAGTAATGCAACTCTTACAACATATATTACCGAATAAAATACGAGAAGCAATGATTCACAGGAATGTTAACACAGTCGAGCCATGTTCCAATTTTGTTTTCTTAAGTTATATTTTGCACATGTTAAAGAGTAAAGACAGAAAATTCGGCAACTTAAATAAACCACATCTGCTTCAGAAAATTCTGGTTCGTGTTGCGAAAAACATCGATCTACTTGAGAAATTTGATTCTTATTTTTCTCTTTCCTTTTTTTTTTTTTTTAAATATATTTTTATTTACTTCAAACTCTACCGAGCACACATAGATAAGAACTCTACACATGATTCAACACAAAATCAATCAGTGAACATAAGAACTCACGTCGGCAGTTGGCAGTGGAGGTAAAACCAGCTGGCCCGAATCAGTCAGCATGTTGGGCTGTACAGGCCCGAGACAATGCGACTTGCTGGCCTCCCATTCCCCAGAAAGCCCGTCCCATTCAAAACCCTCAACCGGAGAGTCCAATATGCTTAGAATATTGTCCAAATCTTTGTCTTCCAAACATCCATTCACGACGACCTCCCAGCAATCATAAGGCTCGACTTCATCCATATTCTGAGAACATATACACAAAAACAGTGGAGCCCAATTACTAGTTGAATATCCAATTTCAAAAGTTAAAAAGTAATGCAAAATATGCTGCAACATGGAAACAAACCATGATGTTCTTGTTCTGTTTCTAAGCCAAGAATCAAGAACCAACTTTGTAAAGTTCAATAAAATTATATAACTGTAAAAGGTAAGTAAATGGGCAGTGAACAGATTGAGATTTTTGATTGTTAATTTATTCTATATTAGATTAGATTTTGGTTTAGAATTTAAACATATTTGGACCAATCACAATCCTCTTGTTATGCCTACAAAATCATGCCTAATTTTGATATGACTCATTTTAATTATACTTTTACCAATTCAAATATTGACTCATAATATTTGATAAAAATGGAATCTTTTACAAATAGTAGTAATGTATTCATTAAATTAGTAATGAAAATGCTTGTTTCTA